TATATATTGTCATCAAGGTATGCGCACACTTGTTTAGAGATATATCAATCTATGGCTGATTACATGGCATGATTAAATCGGTTCTGTAACACGTTCTTATCACGAATTTCGCTCATGAGCTGGGCACCAAAGCGCAATCGCATTGCAATCGCCTTGCCACACCTGCAGTGCAGCTGCCCGCCTGGGCGTGGCTCTAGGGCAGCCAAAAGGACCAACAAGCCATCGAATCACTCAAATCAGTTAGCGATCGATCGATCACACAAAAGAACTATTGTTATCAGTTGGCTGTATGTATCTCTCGCCATATAGAAGCTATATAGTAGTCAAAGCTGCACGGCAAACAGATAAAGATAAGATCAACAAGCGAGCTATTGACAGAGCTGATTGGCTTGCAGTTTGCACAGGTAACTAAGGCAGTGATAAGGCTTGATCGATCAATAGAACTAGGGCAGCAAGAGCTGAGATCGTTTTCAACTATTGTACAACATATACAAGTGCATCTATATGCCATATACTTATCATACACTCCAGTTCTAGTTTGCCAAAATGAATCACTTTAGGCTTAGGTTGGTCTGCCCAAATGACGATGCTGCTAGGGCGGGCAAAGGATCTCAGCTATGAGCCCGACAACAACAACAATCACAACAATTAGGAACGTTGCAGTCGGGCGTTACCAGCTGCAGAATACTCCTTCACATCCCATCAGCAATTTAGAAGCTAAGTTTAGCTCTAATATAGTGCAAGGTGCACTTTCTCCCGATTGGCCACGCCCCTAGTGGCCGTAGACACCTCATTCCTGGCCTAACTGCAAAATTTGGATGCTTATGCTCCAAAAATGTCAAAATTACAGGGTATTTTTCGATATACCACGCCCCTAAAGATCAACCGATTTTGGAGCATCGGTAGAGGGGGTTACTAGGAACTCAACTATCCAAATTTGAAGCTTCTAGCTCTTAAACTGTAGGAGATATAAACTTTTGCGGTTTGCCACGCCCCCTGCCAAAGCTGTTAGGTCTTGGGTTGTCAGCCCGATTATACATATATTCCAAATTTGTCTCTAGCATCAATAGTGTCCAAAATATAGCAGATTAATCACAATATCTTCGCGGACAAACGGACGGACAGCAAGACGGACATTGCACAAAACCAATATACTCATCTCACTCTCGTGAATGAGTATAACAAGAGCAACGGCAACACGAGCTCATACCTGACAGTTGCCGCGTGCCGTCGCAGTTAATTCTGACAAGTGCTCGTTAGAGCTCTATTGCAATTGAACTGGCTTTAAATCATTCCGGAATTGACGTCGATGCCACGATCATGATTTTCGCTTGGTATTGGCTCCAGTTGCGTCACAGCGCGAACTGATGAATCTATTGGCATTGATTGCAGAGCGAGGCCAGAGGCGCCAGCGAGACGAGATCCGACATGCCGTCCCAGGAGCAGAAGGTCTATGGGGATACGACGCAGCCGCTGCCGCGACGCGCCGCAGGAGACGGCGTCTACTACAACCGGAAGGACAAGAGTGATCTGGGCGAGAATTTCGTGGCGCCCGATGGCGGCTGGGCGTGGCTGGTGTGCATCGCCGCCGGCATATCGAATGTAGGTAAAATCGAAACTCCCATCCAGTGCCAAGCAATTATCCATGGGCAATGCCATCGCTCTGACAGATGTCGCTGTATCCGTGCCTGCAGCAGTTCGGGCTGCTGTTCGGCCAACGCCTCCGGGTGCTGGGCCTGAGCAGCTCCCAGGTGACGACCATAGTCAACACGCAGCCGGCTGTCGCTGCCTGCTCGGGCCTGCTCAACGGGCCCATGTTTCGGCGCTTCACCTTCCGGCAGGTGGCCATGGCGGGTGCGCTGCTCTCCTTCACCGGCATCGCGCTGAGCGGCTTCTGCGAGACGTTCGCCGGCTACATAGTCGCCTATTCGGTGCTTTACGGTAAGCCGTGTGCCATTCGATTGCTCCAATTCCTCTGTTGTCACCTCCAACTCCATTCCCAGGCTTTGGCATGAGCATCAACGTGTCGGCCTCCTCGCTGGCGATCAACACGTACTTCCAGCAGAAGCGGCGACGCGCCGCCGGCTTCTCGTGGACAATCACCGGACTGGGGCCGATCTTCTTTCCATATCTGGTCACGTTCCTGCTGGGCATCTACGATGTCCAGGGCACGGCGCTGATCTTTGCCGCCCTGGCGCTGCACAGCTTTGTCGGCGCGCTGATCTTTCAACCGGTGCGCTACCACCTGCGCCCGAATGCTGCGACTGAGGCCAAGGATGAGGCTGATGCGGCACTCAAGCAGCCGGAGCAGCAGCCGGAGATACTGTGCGCCCATTGTACGCTGCAGCGCAAGCGCGAGCCGGGCGGCATCTTCTCCAGCCAGTATCTGTACCAGGACGACGATGCCCAGCGACCCGGCTACGAGATCATTGAGCCGGGCACGCCCATGTTGTCGCGGGCGAACGACGGCTGGTATGGGTCCAAGATGTCGCTCACCTCTGGACGCATGCGCTTCCGCACAGTGTCCAGCTCGAAGGACTTGGAGCATACGCAACGCCTGCACAGTCCTGTCAGCAAGGAGCAGCAGCAGGACGATGACTTCCTGCGGCCGAACTACTTTCGCCGGGAACGCGAGGAGTCCATGCTGGAGTCGAGTCGCTGCAGCTGTGCGGAGCAGCGGGCGATCGCTGCTGCTCGCCAAACGGAGCAGCAAGCGGAGCACAACAACAACCACAGCAGCGACACGGAGCTGCCGCAGCCATCCCAGATGAGCTTCGTGCAGAAGATCGTGACCTTCTTCGACCTGGATCTGCTGCGCGACATTACGTTTGTGAATCTGGTCTTCGGCCTGACGGTCATTAACTTCGGGGAGCTGAACTTTGCGATTCTGACGCCGCTCATATTGACGGACTTCGGATTCGAGACGCCACAGATCACGGTGGCCATGTCCCTGATGGCCGGCATGGACATGACGGTGCGCTTCCTGGTGCCGTTCGTCACCGAGAAGATACCCTGGGATAACCGCGTCTTCTTTCTAATTGGCGTCATGGGCATCGCCATCGGACGCACCGCCGTGGCCTGCACGCCATCCTACATGGGCATTCTAGCCAGCTTCATCTGGATTGGCCTGTGCAAGGGCGTCCGCACCATCTTCTGGCCACTGATCATACCCGGCTACGTGCCCCTGAATCGTCTGCCAGGCGCCTCTGGCCTACAGCTGCTCATCACGGGATTGTTCACGCTCATCTTTGGTCCCTTTGTGGGTGGGTATTATCTATTATCTATTATCTACAGCTGTATATGTATATGTATATGTATATGTATATGTATATGTATATGTATATGTATATGTATATGTATATGTATATGTATATGTATATGTATATGTATATGTATATGTATATGTATATGTATATGTATATGTATATGTATATGTATATGTATATGTATATGTATATGTATATGTATATGTATATGTATATGTATATGTATATGTATATGTATATGTATATGTATATGTATATGTATATGTATATGTATATGTATGTGTGTGTATATAACTATATATACATATTTACTTCGGTTTATGCCTTGTGGGGGTAATGGGTAAGCGGGGTATATTGCTTCCATTTACATGTATGAGAAAAGCGAGCAAAGGCATAGCTGATGCAACTGTGCTGTAGAAGATGAAGAGTATAAGAGCTTATGAGTATAAGAGATGCTACACAAGTGCATGAATTGAGTAAGTGTCTAAAAGGAACTCAGCTTAAGAGTTGAAGACTATAATAGAAGAGTATTAATGTGAAAGTATATATAGTATAAGACTTCTCTGACTTGAGAGTAAAATATAAGACTGAGTCAGTATAAGCATTATAGCTATAAATTAAGAATTGTAAGCGCAAGAGACTTAAATCCGTTTATGAAGACATGGGATACAAACATACCAAGTTTACTTCAAATTATCTACAACTTTCATATAACCCATGTCAGTCGATATCAAAAGCTAGGTATCTCCTAGTCAGGCACACTTCTCTTCACTTCAGGCACTCCTTCTCCAGTTTTCTTTTTGGTAACTCTGCAAAGTTTTATGAATTTGAGTTGGCGACAAAGCCAAAAGGAAAGTTTGCGATTAATCGCTAAGGCTGTGGCAGTGGCGCCCTAAAGGCAGCGCCTAACGGAAACAGAAATAAAGCCGGAAGCAAACTATAACGGAAGCTGTACGCTGAAATGCCCAATTGCAGCTGGAATCAATTGCACCTGCACGAGGCTTTAAGCCAAGCAGAACAGAGCAGAAAAACCACCAAAATGAAGACTCATTCTTAAATTGGTAACAAGTAATGCGTGTGTGTTGGTGTGTGTGCATGAGTGGGTGTTTGTGTGTGTGTTGGTTTAGTATGTTAGTCTGTCTGCCTTTGGTAGTGCACTCCATAAACAGTTCATAAGTGTCGCGCGTTTTGTCTCGATGGCAAGCTGAATGGCCAAAATGTCCTGCAATACAATCAGCCAAGGGCCAAGCACAACAAGTAGCGAATGCTCATGACTATGCCCAGCCAAGAGATACCCTGTAACCTAATTTTTTTAATATGATAATATGCAGAGAAGGGGTATGTACTTTCCATGTACATATATACTCTATAGAGGTCTGCTCTAGTTCCCTCATTAGATATAGATAAATGTATATACGCGCCTGATTCAGCCTCTACCTAGTACATAGTACTTCCCTCTACTCTAGCCAATCCACCCTATTAAAGCATCTGCCATGCATTCAGGGTATATGAAGAAAAAACTTTGCCCATTCAAGTGGCTACAACAACAGCAACAACAAAATCAAGCCAAATTATGTACAATTTGTGCGACGCCGAGGACATTGCCCCAAACAAACAAAAATAAGAAGAAGAAGAAGCAATGTATGCAATCGAAATGTTAGCGCATTGAATTGAGCTGCTTGCCACAATTTGCGGCAAGCAGATTGTCTGTACGAGTTTGTCTGTCCGTTTGTCTGTCTGCTTATGGCAGTTGATGACATTCATTAAGTACAGTAGTAACTCGCCATGCACTGCACAAATCCTTCACTCTGCTGCTTAAGCTGCGCCCGCTGGCCAACGCTTAACTCTTGATTGATTATGTGGCAACATTTTGTAGCATATATAGTTTCAAGAGTTCGGCTTAAAGCCTCTGGCGGGTCAGCTACATATTGCGTCTTCCACTCAAGCGAAATTTATGAACAGCTTCGGCTATTTAAA